GGTTTGGGGGAGAACAATTTCAAACCAAATCAAATTTGAAGCTCTTAATATAGAAAGGTATAAATAAGACTGGTGGAGAAAAAATGTATTCAATCCCCAAATTTATTCAAGATACAAAAGTTCCAAGTGACAACAACAACAAAAACATGTCTAAAAGAATAACCAACATATGCTGGTATGGTGTGGGAAGTTAAAAATAAAATAGTGACCAACAAGAGGAAAGAAGCTCCAAAGAAAGACAATGAAGAAAAGCAAATTAATTTCCAAGAAAACAAAGGATGACATTGTAGAAATGTCAAGATTGAGTGAGCTAGAAAACTGAGATTGTTTGGGTGACTTATGATTCCAGAGGTGGCCCATGAAATAGCTGCTCTCACTCACAGGACAACCTGGGCAATTTGGGAGAGAACAGAAACTAGATCCAAGTTCATGAAATGCCTCGGAAGATCTGATTTGAGGAGAAGGCCTCATGGTTTCTAGGAGAGGTGATGGTGATGTCTGATATTCTTTTTACTTTTTATACATATTTTTGAGACAGGGTCTCCCTCTGTCACCCAGGCTGGAGTGACAATCACAGCTCACTGCAACCGTGACCTCCCAGGCTCAAGCCATCCTCCCACCTCAGCTTCCCAAGTAGCTACAGGTGTGAGCCACTACACCCAGCTAATTTATATATTTTTTGTCTTGCTATGTTGCCCAGGCTGGTCTCAAACTCCTGAGCTCAAACAATCCTCCCACCTCCGCCTCCACCTCCCAAAGTGCTGGGATTACAGACATGAACCACCACACCCAGCCAATATTGGATGGCCTAGAGGGATGAGATGGGGTTTGGGCTTTAGTTACACTGACCTGGATCGGAATCCTAACTTTGCCACTTAAGAACTGTCTCAATTTGGGCAAGTCATTAATCTAATCAAATCTGTCTTCAGGAGCCAGGCACGGTGGCACATGCTTGCAGTACCAGCTACTTGGTTTGGGAGGCTGAGGCAGGATTGCTTGAGCCTGGGAGTTAGAGTTCAGCCTGGGCAACATAGCAAGATCTTGATTCTAAAAAAATAAATAGGCTGGGCATGGTGGCTCATGCTTGAAATCCCAACATTTTGGGAACCAGAGGCGGGCGGATCACCTGAGGTCAGGAGTTGGAAACCAGCCTGGCCAACATAGTGAAACCCCGTCTCTAGTAAAAATACAAAAAATTAGCTGGGCACGGTGGTGGTGCCTGTAATCCCAGCTACTCAAGAAGCTGAGGCAGGAGAATTGCTTGAACCCGGCAGGCGGAGGTTGTAGTGAACCAAGATTGTGCCATTGCACTCCAGCCTGGGCGACGGCGTGAGACTCTGTCTCAAAAAATACATAAATAAAAATAAATAAACAAAACATCAGTCTTCCCATCTGAAAAATGCAGACAAAAGACCTATTTTACAGGGGTACTTTAAGGACTAAATGAAATGCGTATGGAATGCTGGCACATGTAGCACAGATAAAAGATAAGTAGGCAGCCGGGCGCAGTGGTTTACGCCTGTAATCCCAGCACTTTGGGTGGCCGAGGCGGGTGGATCACGAGGTCAGGAGATCGAGACCACGGCGAAACGGGCATGGTGGTGCACACCTGTAGTCCCAGCTACTCAGGAGGCTGAGGCAAGAATTGCTTGAACCTGGGAGGCGGAGGTTGCAGTGATCTGAGATCGTGCTACTGCACTCCAGCCTGGCAACAGAGCGAGACTCCGCCTCAGAAAAAAAACAAAACAAAACAAAAAAACCCTGCACACTTTATATCAGTGGGTCTTAAACTTTGCTGTACTTCAGAAACACCCAGAGCTTATTACAAATGCAGATTTGTCCCCAAAGATGTGATTCAGTAGGTCTGGGGTGGAACCCAGAAATCTGCATTTTTAATTAGCAGTCTGGTGACAGTGAGGCATGTGGTTCATAAACGATATTGGAAAAAAACTGTGCTATACTTCAGTGAAATTTTTTCCAGACTCAGGGAAGGTTAGGCTCTGAGATGGAAGGTTCAGATTCCTAAAGGGAAGAGCTGAGGGAGAAGGGCGGGAGAAGGCCAGACCTACCTGGGCCAGGGGGATGACCCTCTCCATGCGGAGCATGCGGTCCCGCAGGGCCTGCAGCTCCCGGTCCTTGCTGCTGTTCTGCAGCTTCACCTCCTGCAGAATCCCCGTCAGCTTGTCGATGTGGGCCCGGAGGTCCTCCACCTCTGCCCCTCGGGCTCCCTCCTCACTGCCACCACCACTGCCAGCTCCACCTCCTTCCTCCTCGCCCACAGTGTCCCAGACATCCCGGGCCACGGCCCTCCAGGCATCTCCGGGGCCCTCCGGCTTGCCATAGGTGCGACACAGCTCCCGCATCTTGAGGGCGGCCAGGGCCTCAATCTCAGCCCGCCCGTGGCGGAAGTCAGCCAGGGCCACCTCGTAGCAGATCTCCTTCACGGCCTGCATCTTCAGGTCAGCCATGGTAGCCCAGCGGGGGTCTTTGCCCTGCAGCCTCCGTCGCTGGGGGATCTGATAAACCCTGCGAGGGGCCCTGCGCTTGCCACTGCTGGGCAGGCCACAGCGTTTGACAATGGTCTGGACCGTGGTGGGCGGCAGCTGCTCTCGCAAGGAGGAGATGAGTCGCCAGCTTTCTTCACAGGAGCGCTTGTCAGAGTCATCCCCGCTGTCTGAGTCTGCATACTGGGGCCAGAGAGAGAAAGAGGAAGAGAGGGCTAAGGACATCCAGAGCCCATGTGTCGCTAAGTGACACTGGAAACGCACCCATCAGGGAGCCTGGGTTCAAGTCCTGCTCCATCCCGACAGCACACCCTTGGGCAGACTGCTTAACCTCTGCTCCTCTAGACAACAGAGATAATGACGGTATCTACCTCCCAGATCTGGAGTACTTAGAACCATGGCTGGCACGGAGAAAGTTACCATAAGTATTAGCTGTAGCTAATCAAGTGTGGAACTTTGTGCAAGACTTAAAAGACCACTGAGGGGTGGTGGCTCGTGCCTGCAATCCCAGCACGTTGGAAGGCCAAGGCAGGAGGATCGCTTGAACCCAGGAGCTGAAGACCAGCCTGGGCAATGTAGTGAGACCACCATCTCTACAAAAAAAAAAAAAAATGTAGCCAGGCATGGAAGTGCACACCTGTAATCCCAGCTACTCAGGAGGTTGAGTTGGGAGGATTGCTTGAACCCAAGGAGTTCGAGGCTGCAGTGAGCTATGATCAGGTCACTGCACTCCAGCCAGGGTGACAGAGCAAGATCCTGTCTCAAAAACAAAACAGAAAGTCCACGGCCGGGTGCAGTGGCTCACGTCTAATCCCAGCACTTTGGAAGGCCAAGGCGGGCGGATCACGAGGTCAGGAGTTCGAGACCAGCCTGGCCAACATGGTGAAACTCTG